ACCCCACAGGCTGCAGGGGATTCTCTGCTCCAGCACCTGGAGCACCTCCTCCCCCTTCTTCTTCACTGACCTTGGTGTCTGCAGGGTTGTTGCTCTCACATATTCTCACTCCTCTCTCCAGCTGCAGTTGCTGTTGCACAGTAACTTTTTCCCCTTCTTAAATACGTTATCCCAGAGGTGCTACCACCATTGCTGATAGGCTTGGCCTTGGCCAGCAGCGGGTTCATCTTGGAGCCAGCTGGCATTGGCTCTATCAAACACAGGGGAAGCTTCGAGCAGCTTCTCACAGAAGCCACCCCTGTAGCCCCTCATTACCAAAACCTTGCCACACAAACCCAATATGTAGGCACAGGTATAGCTATGGCTTGAAACTAGCACTTGCACAGCACAGCTCAAACATGAACTGAAGCCTCCAAGGCTGAGCTTAAATAGAGCTCCTGGGCCCATGGGCAGGGATTGTGGGTGGAGACCCCAGCTGAGGCTCATCAGGGCCATGAAGGCCTATTAATGCACTTAGGGCCCTGACACATAGCTGCAAGCAGTTTGTTATGGGCTAGCTTGATGTTTCTCTACTATGGAGCCTTTATAGGTGGTGGTGCGATAATCTAGATCGGAAAAGCAACCTTATTTTGAAAAGTTCTGCTGATCTGTTATTTAGAAGCTCCATGAGGAGAGAAGGACAGCTATTTACTAGCCTTGACTATAACTTAGGACCAGGACTGGGGTTCACTTGTGTGAAAGTGCATTGGCTACAACCTATACCTTTAACATGCATGTTTCTTCCTTTAATTCATCTAGTTCATCAGAGGGAATGGATGGATAGGCCAGCTGAAGGGTGATAGGTCCAGGAATATGTCCCAGGTCATTGTGTGGCAGCTACTTAGTACCGCAGATGTGGCCAGGTTAGGATTAGACCTCTGCACGCTAGAGACATTGCTTGGAAGTGAAAGAAGAGTGGGAGCACACTCTTCCAATAGAGATCATGAAACACTAGGTGCGTGCATCCCATTTACAATCACAAGAGTTGCAGGTCTAATTCCTTGCCTGAGACACTGAAAATATACCCAAAGGAGTCCACATTAGCAAAGCCACAAACCACATTAGAAAAACCACAGAAGCCAATTTGGCACTCAGACCTTCTGTGCTCCTGGCAAAAATCCAGGGCTCAGCTAGGGTTGCATCAAAAAACAAAGGGCAGGCTCGACTTTCAGAAGGTTGTGTATAGTGCAGCTGATGGGAGCTGTCTTGGTGTCTCTGTCTGGACTGTGTAAACATGAAGCTCTGATTTTGACAAAGAAATCCCAGGTGTTCATCAGTAAGGGCATCCAGGTCTTATTTTTTCCCTATCCTGAACAGAAGTGCTCACTGTCTGTGAACCCAATTGTTGCACTCCTGTTGCTAGAAAGATGACTGATGCAACGTAGACTTCAGTGCATGGGGTGAAAAATAGATGCTACAGAAACTACTGAAACATGCGCCTTTTGGGGGTACAGGAAACTCCAGAGGAAAAAAAATTGAAGGGGGGAAATGGACTGGGAGAAGAGGAGACATCAGAGCCAGAGCAAAGGCATTAGAAGTCACACTGTAAGCAACGCAACCAGAAAAAGCTGTGAATTGGACTGTGGGAAAGAGCTGATCCCTACCCTTGTTAGAAGATAAAAAGTGTGTAGTAGTCAGCAGCCTCAAGTGCTAACTGCTGACTGGAAGCATTACTGGAAGGACCCTGGGAGCCTTTTTACGTGCTGACTGGAAGCATTATTGGTGCCTTCATTTGATTCCGCATCTATTGCACGATGATCTCATTGGCATTCCCTGCAGTGAGCCCACTTAATCATGCTAACCAAAAAAAAAAAAATAGAAAGCCAACTCCAGGCATTCTGGTGCCTTTGTACTGCTAGTCCACTACAGCTCTGCATATTCTGCATCACATCTTCCCCTGCCCTCCTAGCCGCTTCTCACTCAGACAGGTTAGAAATGGAAAGGTCCTGTTACATCATCTGGCCCTTCTCCCAGCTAATGCAGGGCTGTTCTTTGCACAATAATTTCTTCATATCTTGTCTAGTTCATAGTGTTTTTTTCCCTGTGTTCTGCCAGCAGATAGGGAAGATGAAGCTGGCATACTGGATTAGGTTTTCAAGCTGTTTTCCCTTTTATTATGTCTTCACTTTAAGAATGCTGAGTGTCTCCTCTCTTGCTCAGCCCCTTGATATTTGTAGGGAGTTTATCTTCTTTTCTCCCCACTTTTGTACTGCTCAGCCAAGCTGTAAATATTTATGTCTTTTACTCTGTTTTCAGAAATCATTTTCTGCAGGCTCATTTTCTGCCCTTCTCTGAACTGCTTTTAGTCTTTAATGAGGAGCCCAGAATGAGCGCTGCTCTCCAGATGCAGTTACATCATGTTTGCTGGGCAGTGGAGGGAGGGGGGAAGAAAAGGACCTGGTGTTGCCCCTGCTGTTGGCCATCTTTGGGCGTCTGCAAAGTACCAAGGTGCTGGAAACTCGCTCCCTTCCTGGCATTTGAAGTTTCTCACTCTTTAGGTGGATGGGAGCAACTCAACCTCAGTCCTGCTTCTCATTCCTCAGGCCATTCTTCTCTTGATAGCATTTAATCACTGCACTCCACTAAATCACTTTGCAGCAGGACAGGCAATTCCCACTCCTTCTTTCATACTATCAGCTGGGCCTTGAAGTGTCAACCTGTGTGGCAGAGCCACACAGCCCTGGAAATCCCCCTTTTCCCCAGAGGCTGACGAAAGCAGTTTTCTGCCTCTTCCATGTGAAAAGACTGCTCTTCCTTCCTTCTTTCTCAAGCTAGTTGCAGTGTTTTCTAAGCTCACTTCTCGGCTTTTCAGGTGCTCAGTTCTCAGGGTGGGAATGGGTCCATTTTAGCCCTTTCCTACCTAGTGGAGCTGGGCAATTTACCCTACCACAACCCCCTGATGTCTGCTCCTCTTTCTGTCCTGTAATGCCCCTAATTGCAGTTCATTGTTACCAGATCTTTTTTAGCTACCCTTCTGCACTGTCAGTGCACATTTATTACATATTTCATGACCACTATGTAATCTTTTTTGACCGCTGTTTCTTAGGTTTTTTGTTCCCTCCAAGTATCCATTTGAAGAAACTGTGCCACATGTTTCCTGAGTTTCTGGGCTGCACACACGCGTGCGCAGGCACGCACACACATACACAAATGTTTTGTGAAAAGTATCTAAAATGGAATGTCTTGATTGCAGTCTTTTGACATCTGTGGTCGTGTGGGAAGTGTCCGGAAGGCGCTGAAGGTCCTTTGCACCCCGCAGGTAAGCAGTCATTTGTATTAGAGCAGTTTCACAGGAGGAACCTTGTTACTATGGAATGATGGAGTTGAAAATTGCTGTATCAGGATCACAGAATAAAACAATTTGTTGTCCCATGGCTGGATAAGCTGGTATCTCTTGTCAGGGATGTTAGGAACCTTTTCTGATATCTGCCCTGTCCCAGGTATGGTAGGAGATTGTTGCTAGTCTGGCCTCTTTTGTCTGATTGGAAGCCCTGTGTAATATGGATTAACCCAATGAGGACAAAACTGCAAGAAGCTGACAAAACTTTGTAGTGCAGAGTGTGAGAAAGACTTAAATAGAAGTATATAGTGCCTGATGTGCAGTGACGTTAAAAGAGATCCTGTAGTGCACAGAAATTATCCCGGGCATCGCATTGTACAGTACTGATATTTAGACCTGTTGCAGTGAAATACTGTGACTTATATTTTAAAATGGTAAGATCAAAGACTGTAGAGGAAAGAAACATAACATCATAGAAGTTTGTTAGAGCTTGCCTTGCTTATTCCGTGGGCTTGGGCCGGTCATTTTTCCTCAGCATGTTTCCATTTCCCCTATTACTGTTACAATAGCAGAAGCAACCTTTACCTTCCACATATTTAAAAAGAAAAGTGGGAAGCCTGTGGGTGCTGCTGCTGTTATTCTTTCTTCTATTGTCTAACTTGCTAATAATAATACCTCCCACTATCTAAACACCTCTGCAAATGATGCTGAATTAATCCTTTCGGCTCCCTGTTGAGCTCATTAAATTTCATTATCATTGCTCCACAAGTGGAGGCACTAAAAGATGGAGTCAGCTCGAGGGGAAAACAAAACAGAGAACACAGAGCTCCAGACTCCTTGTGTTCTGTGTGCCGGTGCCCAAATCTCACTTCCCCACACACAGTGACATAACACTGGTGTCCTTCCCAGGTCGTGCAGGGAATCTGGGTGTGAAAAATAGTGTCTGTGTATGCTTAGCCACAAACCAGATTATCTTCTAACCCTTTGACGTTGGGATTTTTTTTCCACCTCTCCCTAACAGACCTATGGAGTTCGTGCTACCAGCCAGCAGTGCAGTGAGGCAGGTGACATCTGTGCCATTTGCCAAGCAGAATTCAGGGAACCTTTGATCCTTATGTGCCAGGTAAGACCCCAAGATTCCCACGTCAGGTTCCCTCATTGGCATTCATTTTGTTAACTTCTGCAGCTGGGGAGAGGCACAGTTCACCTGACTACTTCTAAAATCATTTGCTGGGTCTTGATCTAGGTCCTAGTGGATGTTTATTGCCCTCTTCCTGATAGCCAGTGATTCACGATAGCTAAGCCACTCTTTAGGGGCTGATCATAGCTGTTGAGATGGAAAAGACCAGCCTTGTCATCCAGGGACTGCCAGTTGGCAGTCCAGACCTTGGATCTAGAATGCAAGACATTTTTATCTGACCCTTGGGGAGACTGGCTAGTCGATAGGCCAACCGAATTATGAGCAAGTGCTATGAGAGGGGCACAGATCCAGAATCAGCCTGATAGGATGCATGAAGACTGGTGCAGCACCATGTAATCGTGGTCTGGCCCCTGAACACCTGGCCGTAAATAAAATAATAAGCAGTTCTGCATATAGAAGTTGGGCACCGCTGCCACTACATGGGAATTGTCCTGTTTCTCATTTGGTAAACACCGGCAAAACCTAGAGCTTAAGAATGGCACGCTGAGTAGTGCAGTGGTCCTAATCTGGTGCTAGTGAAACCCTTCAAACACACCATGCTGCCGGGGGTTCTGTTAATATCTCAGAGGCCAGCTGAAGGTGTTGCCTTGTGGCAAGACTGGTGATGCTTCCCCAAGATTTTTTTACAAGTTGCTTGTAACTCGGTCAAGCTTTTTCTGTTGGGGTTGAAATTCTGCATCCTGGAGGCTGTCTCTGGCTGATGCGTGCAGGAAAACCTTAGGCAGAATGATTCAGCTGTTTCTGGGAACGGCATCGGTGGGATATATGCTGTCTCGTGATATCAAAATAAAGCTTAAGAGTCTTTTTCTGAAGAGCCTTAACATTCCCACGCTTTGTAACAGGGTTATCAAATTAAAGCAAGTAGGTCACCTGTGCATCAATAGTGCCTCTTACTATTCCTGTGAACATCTGTGCAGATGTTATCAAGCTGTGAGCCCCAGAGCAGCTATCTTTGCATGTGCTTACCAGAGTTGAGATTTTGGTGAGCAACATTTCTGCTGACTCCCCATGCGTTGAGGAGGTCTCAGCTTCTTAAGGCTTCTCATACTCCCTTCTAGCCCTAGTCCTGCTCTTCCAGTCTGGGCTCGATGGGGTTGTGTGCTGGGCCGCCGTCCCTCCTGATCTCTGTTTGTACCCAAGGCAGGCTGGAGGGAGAATCCTGTTGTGGCTCAGTGTAGAAATGAGAGAAGATAAGGAGTGAAAACTGACATTTATAGAGAACGGGAAACTGGGACTGTGAAGCGGCTGACTAGGACTGGGTGATGTGAGCAGAAAAAAGCAAGTGCAGTAAGGAGTAGGGGGAAGAAAGGGGGGCGTTTGAGCTAAGGGAAGACTTGTAAAATAACCCAGGGAATTGAGGATGGAAACATGGTAGAGACAACCCTCTCAACGACTTCGTTAGCCCAAATGTCGCAGGCCTTTTTAATATTTCTTTCTATTGCTATATTAAGAAACAGAGTAATATATCATTAGCTTTGACGAACTGATGTATTAGTAACGCCGGGATTTATTTTTCATATCATGTGAGTACTGCTAATCAGCTGCACTGTCCACCTGAACTTGAGCTGTTACTTGCTCCCGTGAGCGTGCACACTTAGTGACAAGACTGGCCCTCCTGCCCGCATCCTGATGCTGCCCTTCTGTCTCCACAGCATGTGTTTTGTGAAGAATGCCTCTGCCTCTGGTTTGACAGGGAGAAGACCTGTCCTCTTTGTCGTTCTGTCACAGTAGAAACCCTGCGTTGCTGGAAGGATGGCACCACCTCTGCTCATTTCCAGGTGTATTAAAACCAATACATACCGACAAATGGAATAACATGTGCGGAGAGAAGAAAAAGCTGGAAAATCTGGTGATCCCATGCCCCTATTTAGTTGCCTGTGGATTTGTTGTCTTAGTTTTTCTTCCAGCTCTGTCTCTCCAGGAGCCAACAGAACAATTGTTACTAGCCAGAAACTTTATCCTCAAAGGCAGGTTTATGTTATGGCAAACTCCATGGCTAAGCTACAGCCGAGATTTTTTCTTGAACGTACATGGTTATAAACTACCTGGGATGTTTCCTTTTTTTCTGTCCTTTTAGTATAGATAAATATTGTGTGTACAAGGCAAGCATACTGTGAATTGCATGTGTATAACCTGGTATACTGGAAAACAGCTGTCCTCCTCTGGCTCAGCTGTCCTGTCTCTGGCTCAAACCACTGGTGAGATTTTTCACATTAAATGGCCCTAGCTTCCCCGAATCTGTAACCTCACAGAATTACGCTGATGCTGTTATATTACCTTTGAGAACTCTTCCGAAACGGTACTTCAGAACCACGTGCCCAAAGTTTATTTGGGGTTGGAGAAACGTCATTTCCCAGCAGCCGTGTTTTTGCAATTGATTCCACATGTTATCATCTTAATAAAATCTCAAGGAACTTGGGAAAGACCGTGCTAGTGAAGCTGGAAATGACACTTGCTTTTCTTGGGAATGTTTTTCCTCTTTAATTTTCATGATCAGACTTTCTGATTTCCTAGCATATGGGGAGAACAGTGGGAGGCCAGAAGAGATTAAAGTCAAGTTTGATTTGTCTAGGTGAAAAGTTGAGGTCCTAACCAAGAGCCTCCCACAGATTCAGGTGTCTCTGCAATACTCTCCTCAGCACAGCCACTTGAGGCCAGGCTTACTGGCTTTAAAAACCAGCGCCACTCAGCATCCAGAACCCGCCTGGGTCCCAAACCAGAAAAACGTGCTCAGGCAGCCCTGGGCCCATACAGCACTGCTGGTACCAGAAATGCTGGGGCATCAGGATACAGGGCCCCCTGGAGAGACTGGGTTTAGTGAGACTTACGAGCTTGAGGGCAGAATTAGACAGAAGCAGCTGCATTGCTTCAGGAGCCAGCCTGGTTTATACACAAGCTGGATAATCCACCTGTGATGGTGGAGACTTGATTGTAACACCTCCGCTGCAGAAACAGCTCTTCGAGGAGATACCTCGTATTGTTAACAGGAGAATTAACATACTTCATATTGCTGCAATTTCCATCTCTGCTGAGGGTGCTGCAGTGGCACTTCCATACAAATGGAGTTGCTGTTTGTTCGCTGGAGCTTTCTCTTTCGCTAAACAACCTCTGCTTTTTGCTGCACGCCCGGAGAAAGTGCCTCATTAGGTAATTGTGGCATCTTCCATGCTCATTACTGTGGAAATGGCCGTAAGGTTACAATCCCGCTTGAGTGGATAATCAGGAAGAACTGTACCTGGGGGAAATGAGCCTATGTGTATGTACTGACTGCGACCTTCCCCTCCTGCTGTGAAACTCCACAGGGAGAAGAATTAAAGCAAACAGGAGCTAATGGTAACAGGATTAAGGCTCAACATTTCTTTGGAAATAATAGTTCAGTATGGCTAGAGGAGAAATGATGAGAGGCAGAGCCTGAGCAGGGAAGATAGTCCAAATCTGGCTTGAGAGATACAGGGGAGTAAAGGAGGAAAAGCTTTACTTTCCAAAACAAAGTGATTTGATTCTTGTCAAATGGATCCCATGAAAGTGGAGAGCTAAGCCGAGGAATCCAGTGGCTATCTCCAGTGGGAACAGCCTTTTGGGGAAAGAACAATGAGCATAAAAATGTTGTTATGTACGATAGTCTGGTATATTCACCAAGAAAAGGGAAAATTACTGATTCTGTGGGCAGGCAATTCATGAAAGGTTTCAGCGTCAGTCTTCAGTGCAATGCCAATGTCGCGGTTTAACCCCAGCCGGCAACTAAGCCCCACCCAGCCGCTCGCTCCCCCCCCCGCCGTGGGATGGGGGAGAGAATTGGAAGGGTAAAAGGAAGAAAACTCGTGAGTTGAGATAAGAACAGTTTAATAATTGAAGTAGAATAAAATAGAACAGTTAAATAGGTAAAGCAAAAGCTGCGCACGCAAGCAAAGCAAAGCAAGGAATTCATTCCCTCCTTCCCATGGGCAGGCAGGTGTTCGGCCATCCCCAGGGAAGCCGGGCTCCATCACGCCTAACGGTGACTTGGGAAGACAAACGCCATCACGCCCAATGTCCCCCCCTTCCTTCTTCTTCCCCCAGTTTATATACTGGGCATGACGTCATACGGTGTGGGATAGGTTACCAACATCATTCTCATCCTAAACCCAAAACACAGCACTCTCCCAGCTACTAAGAAGAAAATTAACTCTATCCTAGCTGAAACCAGGACAGCCAATTAATTAAAGGCTTGGTGGTATCTGCTTACAAAACATTTGAAAAGCCACTTCTAATTCTGATTTTTTTTCTAACTGCTCATGGAAAATGTGTTTGGAGAAGTGTATGAAAAGGTCAGTATCAGCCTGACACTACAGATAGCATCTGATACACTGTTTCAACATTACTATTTTTAATTTGGTGATGAGGAAGGCAAGCAATCAAAGGGAAAGTATGGGGGATCTTTTTTGCCATCCTTACAGTCTTTCTTTACTTCTTTTTTTCTTTACTGAATGATCTTTCCCCGTTGTCAGTGTAAGAAAGAGAGGCCTATCATCATCATACACTTTGCTACAGCCCAAGGACTCGGGAAGATCACGCAGTAAGACTTCATACTGGCACAGAGTGGAAGAATCGCCACGTGCCTCGGATGTTTTTAGTACCCACCTAAGAACCCCTGCACCAGCATCATGATTTTCTAAAGACCTTCTAATGATTTATTTTTCTTTCGCTTCATCTCAGCGATCCCTTCGTGATTTTTGCTTTCCCTCACTATTACAAGGCAGCGTTCTCGTCCCTGTGCAGAAGCCTGGCTCCTCTGGTGACGTGCTTCAGTGGTATCTGACACCTGCGCGCAGGTAACCCGTGGCAATTCTCCCTTGTCTCAACAGAAATCCAGGGAGGTGGTTGGTTGGGTAACGTTTGAGGCAGAAGGCTGCTCTTGCTATCAGATACCTCAGTGACAAAATGCAGCACCGCCATCTGGATGTCAGGCCTTCGCTGTGGGAAGAGCCGGTACCTGAGAGGACAGGGGTGCCCGAGGCTCGGTGGGCCATCCAGCGCTCCACTTCTCTGTTCAAATTAATTAGAGCTAAATAGAAGGTGAAATTTTATGCTGTGGATATTTATTCTACTGGAAGCATAAGAAAGATCAGCTTAATTCCTGCAAGATAAAGAATTTACTACAGGCCACTACTACAGAGCTGTTAAACGAACACAGCATCCTTCAGTCCCTGTTCTTCTGGGCTGGATGCTGTGGAAGAAACAGCTCCGTGCTGTTAGCAGTCTGTCAAAGCCTCCCTCCTCGGGTACGTTAGGGTGCTGGTTTTGTGAGGCAGGACGGTTCTACCCTCTCCTAGAACACGACATACGGACCAGAAAACGTAGAGGGGAAGCTTCCGTTCTAATGACAACTGATGAGAAACTTCTGTTGATGTCCATGGGAAAACAGCTAGGGTTGTGGAAGGAAATTGTTCTCTCAAATTTCAGAGAGGAAATAAAAAAACTGGAGCCTTTTTTCGCCATTGAACAGTTGTTTTTCTTTTTTTTAATAAAGTCATTATAAATATGTACAAAGAGTCTCAGCATATGAAATTCCTTTTACAAAAGAGAGAAGCCACATCCAACCATAAACAGGAGCCTTCGTGAACTCGAGTCAGCAGTGAGCACAGGCTTTGCTCTTGCTTTGGTGAGGGTGGAAACTTGCACAGTGACTCTGCAAGAGTTTACATCCAAATAGTAACGCATCAGTAATGTGCATGGAATTGTGCATTCACCACATCGCATCTGTTTTATTCTGTTAGCAATGCATCTGGGAGCAGACTGGAAAATTTGCAAATGTCCTAAGGACTAAAAATGATGGGAAGATTTTTTTTCTTGTGATAAACTGTGGTCTTCAAATTGATCGGAAAGGTTACGCTGTGAATACCCATGAAAACTAAATCCCATTGTAGCTGGTTTTGCTCTCTACTTAGGTGGCATCTGTAACGAATAACGGCTGTAACTAATAATGGCAGTTCAATACCCAGATGCTTTCAGTGAATATTTGTCAAGCTCCAAAGTCACTTTCTGTAAATATTAAAAAACTTGTGACATTCAAGTACTCAAGTATTCGTGCAGAGTGAACACTGAAGAAGTCTGATCGGAGTTACATGAAAATTCACTCCTGCATTCAAATAAATATTGTCAGAAAAAAATATTCGCTTGTTTTGTATTTTGTAGTTTTAAATTTCTCTTGCAGATGGGGAAGGGAAATTCTGCAGCTTTGGCTGGAACAGTCAGCTTTTTCCCACAACTGCTAAGGGCAGAGCTGTTGTTCGGAAGACCTGAGTTTGGGAGCGCGTTTGGGGTATCCGCCGACGGAGATTCGTGCTACGCAGATGGCGCGTGAGTCAAGCCAGCAGGATTGGCAGAGGGAAGAAGCACCGAAGTGTCGCAGGCTGGCGACAGGGATGCGTACCTGTCCGGTGGGCAAAGACAGCCTTTGAACGAAAAGGCCTTGCACATTCAGACCAGGACCGAATGAGAAGACCAAGGTAGGAGCAGCGTGCGAGGATTCCTCCCCGCCGTTCAGACTAGCTGATACACTCGTGTTTTCCTAACAAAGATCAAGTCCCATGGTATTGAGACTTCCCTAGGCTTTTGGATTTTGAATTAACACGGCCAGTGCCTCCTAACCTTTTGTACTAAGAGAGATGAGCAAGTTTAGCTCAGCAGACAGCAAGCAGTGCCTGGCCAAGTGTTCTACAAGAGCGAGGCTAGTTTTGAAGCTTGCATTCAAAAGCAAATTTGCTCTAAGAAAAGTTGTGAAGGTACTGGTCACCTGTTGTGGAGG